AAGGGGTTGGATGGATTAGTTTGGGCAATGATCCTATAGCCTCCAAGGTTTGATTCTCACTGGCTAACCCCCTGTTTCTGAGATCATTCCTTGGTTGATACCTTCACCTTGGGAAAGGGTTGGCTAGGCATTGAGAAGCCCAATATCAAGAGAAGCCTTGATACAAGGAGTTTTAAGAGCTAGATGATTAAGTGTAGATTCCTTGATTGCAAAACCCTGTCTTGAACCCTAATTCTCTCTTTATCTTGTTAAAGTCGTCACCTTTAGCTTTGTTTGTCTCAACTCGTCCCTAAACTCGATCGAGCTGGTACTTTGCTCTGACTCGACTCGAGTCTTGGTCGAGCTGCTTCACTGCTTTCTTTACTTTTATTGCACTGCTTTCTTTTTTTAGGTTGTTAGTGTTACTTCAAATCTCTTACTGCTTGCTTGACTTCCTGGTTGTTTCATATTCTCATAGAGTGACAAGTTTCCCATTTTGGATTGATAACCCTTTGTACTACATCAACTATCATGGTTAAAGGGAATTGTTGACTGTGTTTGTGTTTGCATCTTACCACCTCATCATATACCACTGTTGCATTCCACCTCATTCATATCATCATTTCACACACACACAAATCCTATCATCAATTTGGCGCCGTTGCCGATTTGGGTTATTTGTTGCATTTGAGTTTCAAACACACTTGGACGATCAAGCTATACCACCCCTGTTCTATTGTACTGCTGGGTTTTTGTCTCTTTTTGCAGGTGTATGCGAACTCGATCGAGTCGGTCTACTGAAGACTTGGTCGAGCTAGACATTACAACGGGTAGAAAGAGGGTTCAGAGGTCACAGAGGGTACAAGAGGAACCTGAGGTGCTTGTTGCTGATACAATGGATGTACCAGAGGGGAATGGAAACCCTTTGGGCAATGGACTCGGTCGAGCTAGGCAAACTCGACCGATTGGTCAAGGAGATGCTCCAAACCGCCACCAACAGAGACAAGGGATTGTTCCACCACCAGTGCAGAACCACAACTTTGAGATCAAGCTGGGAATGATCAACCTTGTCCAGAACAAGATGTTCCATGGATTGCCAAGTGAAGACCCCATTGACCACCTTGATGAGTTTGATAGGCTTTGTGATTTGACAAAGATCAATGGTGTCTCTGAAGATGCCATCAAGCTGAGACTCTTTCCTATGTCTCTAGCTGACAAAGCTCACCAATGGGAGAAGAGCTTGCCCCATGGCACAATCACCACTTGGGATGAATGCAAGAAGGCCTTTCTTGCTAAGTTTTTCTCCACCGGTCGCACAGCCAAGCTTAGAGGAGAGATATCCAGCTTCATCCAGCGAAACAATGAGACATTCGCAGAGGCTTGGGAGAGGTTCAAAGGCTACACAAGTCAGTGCCCACACCATGGATTCAACAATGAATCACTACTCTCCACTCTTTATAGAGGATGCTTGCCTAGGTATAGGGAGATGCTAGACACAGCTAGCAATGGGAACTTCCTCAACCAGGATGTAGATGATGGCTGGCAACTTGTGGAGAACATAGCTAACTCAAATGGAAGCTATGGAGAAGAGTATGATCGCACCAACCGGAGCTCGACCCACCACTCGATCGAGTCAGACGAAAAGTTGAGAAAAGATGTTAAGGCATTGAATGAGAAGTTGGATAAGCTGATCCTAGCTCAGTCCACAATGAAGAAAGTCAACTTTGTGTCTGCTGAGGAGATGGAACCAGTCCAAGAAGGGGAGGATACACAATTTGCTGAGGTGTGCTACATGAGCAATGGGCAAGGAGGTTACAACAAAGGATACTATAATTACAAGTCCAACCCTGCCATGTCATACCGCAACACTGATGTTGCTAACCCTCAGGACCAAGTATATCCTCAACAACAAGCAGCTCGATCGAGTCAGGTGCCACAACATGGGTATGGTCAAAAGAACAATTACCAAGGACCACAAGGCACTTTCCCTGGACAACAAATGAATATCCCACCAGGCTTCCCCACCAACCGCCCCAGCCTGCACCTTCACAAGAGAATGAGCTCAAAGCAATGCTAAAGCAACTACTTCAAGGGCAAGCTGATGGGGTAGTGGACACAAGCAAGAAGCTAGCTGAAATAAACTCTAAGATCGAGAACCTCAACACAAGGGTTTACTCTCTGGAGAATCATGCTTCTTCTGTTGCTGCTGCTACAAAGCAAGGACAACTACCTGGTAAAGCTATTCAGAACCCCAAGGAACAGTGCAAGGTCATCTTCACTCAAGAAGGACTTGTTGAAGAAGAGGATCAAGAAAGGGTCATTGAAGATTTTTGTTTACTGCTGAATGATGAAGAGATTGTTGCTGCTGAGGCTCCTGGAGTCCAGATTGATCAACCAGAAGTGCAGGCACCTACTGTGGCCATTCACACTTCACCAGTTGAGCTCGCACGACAAGCTCGATCGGCAGCTCGATCGAGTCCAACTCTAGCTCGATCGAGTCCGACCTCTTCTGTCCGACAGCCTGTTTTGCTTGATCCTTACCAACCGGTTGCCGCTTCCTCGTCTCGCCTACTTAGTCAAGGTCACAAGGAAGTGATTCACAAGTTCAGAAGAGATCTCAGTGGGATTGGAATTGAGTTGCCTCCTATGGATAGCATGAGTGAGGCATTTGATCAAATGCAAATGGTCAAGGATGTTCTAGCCAACAGTGATAAAGTTTCAGAGGTCCTACAAGAGTCTACTCATCAGTTCAACCTGCTTACTTCACCCACCTTCCTACCAAAGGTCAAGGATCAAGGGAAATTCACTCTCCCTTGCACACTTGGGCATCTTGAGATTGACAATGCCTTAGTGGATTCTGGAGCAAGCATCAATCTGATCTCTCTCTCCATGGCAGAGAAGCTAGGCATAGCTGGAGCCTTGCAGCGCCCTACTACTTCAATCATGTTTGGAGATGCAACTTCTAAGTCTCCTCTTGGAGTGTTCAAGAACTATCACTTGAAAATTGGAGAATGCATCATCCAAACTGATCTCACTGTGATGGAAATGGAAGAAGAGAAGGATTTGCCTCTGTTATTGGGAACCCCTTTCCTTAGTACAGTTGGCGCTTCAATAGACTTTCACAAGCAAGAAGTGATCCTTCACAAGGTGAATAGTTTGGTGTCATATCGCTTGCAGCCTAGAGGTTCAGACTTTTGTGCCACAATTGACAGTACCAATCTCAGTTCTAAGAGTCATGGAGCTACAAAGGTTGTGAAGGAAAGGGTTGACAAGGAACCAAGAGTTGGGAAGGATAAGGATGAGAGAGGACCAAGGATTGAGAAGCCACGTCTTGAGAGGGCTAGAGTTGAGAAACCACGATCTGATAGGCCAGAGCTGAGACTTGTTCAAGCCCCTTGTGTGCTTGATGAAGAGAGCCTTCAAGCTTTGTTTGATGAGCCACTAGGAAGGGCTCTAAAAGAAGGGGAGGATGCAGCCTCTAAGGCAAGACCAGGAGATAAAAGAAAGGATCCACCAGCTCAGGCCCCTTCATCAAGCCATCTCAGCTCACAATGACTTTGTTCCCCACCAAGTTTGAAAATGGGAAGATTGAGTACAAGATAAGGTACAAGGGGAGATCAAGGCCATTCTCTAGAGCCAAGGCCTTGGTGACTTCAGAACAGTCCAGGGACCCAACCAAGCTAAAGGAGCTTCTGTCTCAAGTCCTCACTATCACCCTTGATGGTGGGACTAGCTCAACCAATGCCTAAGAAGGTAAAGGTCAAGCTATGGGACCTTAAACAAGCTCACTTGGGAGGAAGTCCCATGTTTATCCTTGTACATATTCTATTTATGCAATTTCTATCTATTTTATGTTTTAACCTTTGAATAAGTTAAGTTTAGGTGTCAAGGAGCCAGCTCGACCGACAGCTCGATCGAGCTAGAAACCAGGGCAACTCGATCGAGTTCCACAACTCGACCGAGGTAAGTTTTTGAATTTCAAATTCATAACCGTTTTCTTGGTCAAGGGAGTGGGTCCCACAAGCTGATTTTGGTCCCCCACTACCCTAATTTGATCAGAAACCCTAGCTTCTTGTTCCCCTCTTTATTTCATCTTTTAATCTCAACCACACATCTCAAACACCCTCTTCCCCATAACTCGATCGAATCCACTTCCCACTCTCCCACACTTAAAATTTCTGAAATCATCCTCTCTCTCTTCACCACAAGAAATCGATTTCAACTTTCTCTCTTAAGTTTTTGCGATTTCCTTTGTTCTTCATCTTGTTTTGCTTGTTCTTAGTTTACTGTCTTCAATTCCATCATTCAAGCAAGGTATGAACCCTAAACCCTTGATTCCTTCATCTCGATTTCCTATTGCTTGTTTCTCTTGATTTTTGATTGCATGTGTCCCTTGAGGACTTTTCTTGAGTAATTGCTTTCTTTATGCTTCCTTGTATAATCTTGTGAATTTGCCTCACCTCACCTCTGTTTTTCATTAGAACTTGTTGCATGTGCTTGAAATTGAATTTGAGTTTGGTATTGGTTAAGATGCTTAGTTTCACTAGAATTGCTCATTGTTCCATTTACTAGTTGTTCTTGGTTCAATTTGATTGATTAGCATCTTTTCCAGCTCTTATTGTTTGAATTAGGTTTGGTTATACTCTGTTTTCACCCAGCTCGATCGAGTTTGTCACTCGAGTTTTTTGACTCGATCGAGCTGAGTGTCGAGTTGGCCGAACCAACATTGCAACTCTAATTCTTTGATTTTGATGCATTTCAGGAACCCAACTTTAGAAGAAACAAGTAAGATGTTGAGAGTGAGGGAAGCCGCAGCTTCACAGAGGAAAGGAGAGGCAAGGAGATGAAGAGGATGCAAGGAGAAGGCTTGGAGATGAAGCCGAGAGAAGAGAGGATCAGAGATGGAAGAATCTGATGCAGGGATATGTCTACTCTGAAGAAGTCTGAGAGTGAGAGTTGAGGGAGGAAAGGAGAACCAAGAAGAGGAATGATCCCATAAGTAGTGAGAGTGAGCAAGGGGAGTTTGAGATTGGAGTGAACCTTGTTCAAGAGGGGGAAATGGCTCTCCAAATGAAGGAAGGAGTGAGGAAACTGAGAGTGAAGAGGAAGGAGAAGAGGTGAACCAATTGGTTGATGAAGATGACAAGAGGGAACCAAGATGAGCCATGGAAGAGGCTGAGGAAGAGCAAGAGGAGGATGAGCTCCCCATGTACCAAGAGCACTACAATGCTCTCTTCTCCATGGACTTTGTGGAGACCAAGTACCCACATGATGACACCATGAGAGATCTTGGATCTTTGAGGATGTGGAGTTGGTGCTCAAGAACATGCAATTGGCCAAGTTCTTCTCTCACCGCATGGAGTCTTACAAGGAGCTGACTTGTGAGTTTTTGGCTCAATGAGCATCACAGTTTGATGAGCTCGATCGAGCTGAGTTGGACCAAGGCTGGGGGTACATAACTTTCTTGGCAAGGGAGAGAAGAAGATGGTGACCTTTAGGCAGCTTGAGATACTGTTTGGGTTCACTATGGAGAAGGTAACCTATGGAACATCAAGGAAGAAGAACTCCAAAGAGTATGGGCTACAATCGCTGAAGAGGGGTACTCTTCCTCAAGGTCCAAGGCTGCCAGATCAGAAGCCCAGTGCTTGAGATATGTCCACAAGGCTCTTGCAAACACCTTCTTTGCAAGGAAAGCCACTGGAACAATCAATGAGGGAGAAGTGAAGCTCCTTGACATGGGAATCAAGCCCATCATCTCACGCACAAGGATGGGAAGAAGATCAGAGGAGATAGGGCACACGCAGGGAACTCATGCCTCTCCTTGAGCAGCTCCACCTACAAGGTCACAGCTTACAACACTAGGCACCAAAGAGGAAGAAAGCTTAGTGTTGGAGGGGTCATCACACCAATTCTTTGTGCAGCAGGAGTTCAACTGGACAAGAGAAGGTCTACTCCACCAGGTTGGATGGACATCAAGTTTTGCAAGACCAACCTCCTCATTGAGCACAAGGAGTTGGATGGGAGATTCCAATTCAAGTTCACCACCATTGGCTGGACCTCCAAGCTTCTCTGCCCAACCCTGAGCTCACCACAGGTCCTAGGGGTGAGAACATTGACTTCAGACCCCCTGTGTACACATTAGGTTGGGCATGAAGGGATTTGCGAGAAGAGATCGAGCTGAGATCGAGCTGAGGATCGAGCTGAGGACAAGCTCAGTGAAGTGCGGATTTGGGTGAGCCTGAGTGCTATTACTTTGAGGAGTATGAGGCTCCAAGGATGAACCCCTCTGTTGTGGCTGCCCACAAGAGGATTGGACTTCTCCAAAAGTTCAACAAGTGGCAAGGGAAAGCCATGGAGAAGATGCAAAAGTCCATGGACAAGATGGTGAGCAAGATCAAAAGTTTGGAGAAGAAAGTTTCTGGTTCTTCAAGCAAGAAGAAGTCCAAGGCCCCCACTTTCCCTAGGAGTAGATCACTCCTCACCACTCCAAGGAGGCTCCCTGCCCAAGAGCCTCACAGAGCCTCTTCTTTCGAGCCAAGGGAAGGAGAAGACAACACGCAGAGAAGGAGGAAGACTTCCAAGGCCAGACGCTCCAGCTCGACCACCGGACTCGATCGAGTCCAAACAGAGGAAACTCAACTCGATCGAGCTGACGGTCGAGTTGACCTGGAGGAGCCCCAGTTTGAGGATCCGGATTTGAATACGATCCCATGCCTTACCAGGACTTCCCCAGTAGATGGACCCCTATGGACAGTTCGAGCACCAGCTCCACCAAGGCCAAGGAAGCCACACACATTTCAACGATGAAGAAGAGGAGGAAGAGGAGCCACAAGCTCGATCGAGTGAGCCGCAAGAGGCAACCCCAGTTGCATGGAGTGCTCCTGATGGCCGTCTCCCATCTCCAGACCACGACCTAGTCTCCCAGTTCTTTGGGGGACACTGAGGTATCCAAACACCAACCCTTGTATATACCATTTCATATTTTCTTGCATTTGTTCTTGTTTTTTCTTGGTTTTGCCCTCTTGAATCTTTCACTAATTTTTCTCACACAAGGGACTGTGTGATTTAAGTTTGGGGGAGGGTTCAAGAGATGATTTAACCTTGTTTTCTTTGTTCTTAGTTTTTCATTTATCTTTTGCATAGAAAAACCAAAAAAATCATAAAATTTTCAAAAAATCCAAAAATATTTTCATCTTTTTGCATTCATATTTGTTAGACTTGTTTAGGATTGCATTTTTCACTTGCATTGTTGATTTGACTTTGAAAACTTGTCCATCTTTTGCGATTTCTTGAGTGCCCTGTTTTTAGATTCTTTTGTGCATTAGGGTGAGATTGATTGAGCAGCAAGAACCATGTTTATCTTGATCATATCGCTGCATGCACATCTCATTCAACCATTGCTGTGATTTGATGCATTTCCCTATCTATTTGAACCATAACTTGATCTTTAATTACCAATGCTTGCATTTGATTTCAACTCATGGCTACCACATACATATCTGGACATTCTTTACCATTTTCATATCCCTTTTGCTTGTCCAGATAGCTGATCTCTATCTTTGAGACAGTTACCACACCTTAAACCTAAGCCTTTTCATTTCAAACCCCTTATTATCTCTTGTGCGAATGTGAGAACCTTTCTTGGCTTTGCTTAGCATAAGGTGTTGTGTTTAAACCGGCAGGGGCAGTAGTTCTAGTTGTCTAGTTCTCTTGGGATTGTTTTCAGGCTAAGTTTGGGGGTGCCAACTCGAGCTCGATCGAGTTGGGTGTAAAAACCAGAAAAGTGGTAAAAGTTGGGAAAAACCCAAAGGAAAAAGAGTTTGTTAAGTCCAGGGAGTTGGCAGTGTTAAAAAGGGTCTAGTAAAGGTTTGGGAAGTTAAAAAAGGAAGTAAAAAGGGTTCTAAGTAGAATGAAAAGAAGGCAAAGCCTCAAGTGTCAAAAAGGAAAGAAAAGTTCCCTAAGTGTTTAGAAAATCCCAAACCGCTAGATGTTACCTCAAGAAGCCTCTCCCTAGGAAGTTCTTAAAAGAAAAGTGAGCAAAGCTCCTCAGTTTCAAAGGCGAAATGCCAAAAAGGGTAGTTAGGATTTTGTTCTAAAAAGCTCTAAGTGTTGAACTCGATCGAGTTAGGATTAGGGGCTCGAGCTGCTGTTCTTGCATCATCTTTGGTTCTAACACTTAGCCTTCTGCCAAAGCAAAGCCACTTTCTTGAGAGATCCCTGTTACTAAACCACCATACAAAAGAGACCCTCTTTGTCTCTTAACCCATAAACCCTTGAAACCAAATGAGTTGATTGATCTTGCATGTTTTTGGTTCACTGTTTTTGCTTAATGAATGTTAAAGGGATTTGCTGATTTGAATGCATTGTTTGAGTGACTGTGAAGTGGGATTGATGTTGATAAGCATGGTTAAATCTTAATGAATATCTCTCACCTTGTTGCATTCTAGAATCTCTAAGTTGGACATTTAGCAAATCGCTTTTGAGGACATGTTTTTAAGTGTTGAATCAGCTATTTTCAAACCTCATCTCTTTCTTGTTCTATTTGTTTGCTTGAGGGCAAGCAAAGTTCAAGTTTGGGGGTGTTGATGTACTTGCATTTTACATAGTTTTAGCACATCTTTTATGCATCTTTTGCATAGTTTTAGCTTCCATTTGCATCATATCTTGTTCCTTTTCTCTTCTTATGCATTCATGTTAGTTTTAGGTTGCATTTGCATACATATGCATGTTTGGTCCTTTGAAATAGGTCTTTTGGAGCATTCTGGAGCATATGGGACAAGGAGCATGGAGGGACTTGGCACATGGAAGCAGCTCAACTGGATACGCAAAGGAAGAAGGGAGAAGCCATCTTGAAGACCAGCTCGACCGTCCACTCGACCAACCGGTCGAGTTCCTCAACTCGACCGGCCAAGCTTCAACTCGATCGAGCTGAGAAGTCAACAGTCAAACCCGAAAAATGTTGCTTCCCCCTTGACTTTCCTTTGACCCTAAACCTAATCCTCTTGTATTTAAAGGCTCTAAGCCACGAAAAAACCACCAAGCTTTAGATTATTTTGTTTTAGTTTCTTTTAATTTATTGTCTTTTACTTTTTAGAGATCTAATCCCATCTTTGTGTTCTTGAAGCTCTTGCTTCTTGAATCCTAGATCCTGGATAATCTCTTTGTATTTGCACTTGCTTATTTCAATAAAAGTTGTTTAATTTCATCTCCTCTTTCTTATGATGTCTCTTTTATTGCATTTGCTTGTGTTTACATTCATGTGTAGTGAGTAGTTACCCATTGGGGTTTGAGATGGGATAGATTAGAGGTTTCATATGCTTAATCCTTCTAGCTTATGGTCTTAATCTAGATTCTCTCTCTTTTGGATAGATCTTAAGGCTACATGACCACTACCCCTGGCTTGTAAGTCCTTAGGCGACTCCCCACACGAAAGTGATGGCATTCGCTGGAAAAGATCCACTAAGAGCTCCAATATCTCTTGCTCTAGACAATAGAGGTCTAAGGGGTTGGATGGATTAGTTTGGGCAATGATCCTATAGCCTCCAAGGTTTGATTCTCACTGGCTAACCCCCTGTTTCTGAGATCATTCCTTGGTTGATAGCCTTCACCTTGGGAAAGGGTTGGCTAGGCATTGAGAAGCCCAATATCAAGAGAAGCCTTGATACAAGGAGTTTTAAGAGCTAGATTGATTAAGTGTAGATTCCTTTGATTGCAAAACCCTGTCTTGAACCCTAATTCTCTCTTTATCTTGTTAAAGTCGTCACCTTTAGCTTTGTTTGTCTCAACTCGTCCCTAAACTCGATCGAGCTGGTACTTTGTCTACTCGACTCGAGCTCTTGGTCGAGCTGACACTTCACTGCTTTGTTTACTTTTATTGCACTGCTTTTCATTTTTTTAGGTTGTTAGTGTTACTTCAAATCTTTACTGCTTGCTTGACTTTCTGGTTGTTTCATATTCTCATAGAGTGACAAGTTTCCCATTTTGGATTGATAACCCTTTGTACTACATCAACTATCATGGTTAAAGGGAATTGTTGACTGTGTTTGTGTTTGCATCTTACCACCATCATATACCACTGATTGCATTCCACTCATCTCATTTCATATCTTTTCACATCCACACACAAAATCCTTATCATCAAGTACCCCGATGGCGCTCATGTAAGGTACTTCAGGACCTAACATTTCTTCAGAATCTTCAATAGGTCGAAATGGATCCTTGTTAACATCAAGCGATCTATTGACCATTGGACTACTCAAAGGAGTCGCTTTATCCATATAAAAGTGCTTTAACACCCTTTTGGTGTAATTTGATTGATGCAAAAATATTTCATCTTGGAAATGCTCTATCTGGAGCCCCAGACAAAACTTTGTCTTTCCAAGATCTTTCATTTCAAACTCATCTTTCATATGAGTTCTTGCATCATCAATCTCCTTTTAGTTCCAATCATGTTCAGGTCATCAACATACACAGCAATGATCACAAAACCCGTTGAGGATTTCTTTATGAACACGCATGGACAAATCGCATTGTTGACGTAACCTTTACTCAACAAGTATTCACTTAAGCGATTGTACCACATGCGGCCGGATTGTTTAATCCGTAAAGTGATCGCTGGAGTTTGACCGAACAAAGCTCTTTAGATGCTTCAGGCATCTTTGATCCTTTTGGGATCTTAAATCCCTCAGGAATTTTCATATATATCTCACTATCAAGTGAGCCATATAGGTATGCAGTCACAACATCCATCAGGTACATCTCTAAATTATTAGAGGCGTTAGGCTCATTAAGTACCTGAAGGTGATTGCATCCATTACCGGGAATATGTTTCTTCATAATCTATCCCCGGTCTTTGAGAAAAACCTTGAGCCACTAGACGAGCTTTATATCTTGTGACTTCGTTTTTCTCATTTCTTTTTCTTAACAAAAACCCATTTGTATCCAACCGGCATTACATCTTTTGGTGTAATGACTATCGGTCCGAATACAGTCCGTTTATTGAGAGAGAATATTTCATTCTTCATGGCCATTTGCCATTTCTCCCAGTCCGGCCTCTTTTGGCACTCTGACACGGAAGTTGGATCTGGATCATCATTTTCATGATCGATCTCTTTAGCTACAGAAAAAGAGAACATTTCATCATCATCATTACTTCTACCCATATTTTTCCACTTTGGGCGAAGGAGATGGAAATCTCAAATTTTTCTGTCTCTGGTTCGTCATCTTGACAAACCTCTTTATCAGGTTCTACAAGAACCTGTTCGGAAATGTCTTAAGACATTTCGGTTCATCAGGAACCTTTACTCCACAATTCTTTTTCTTTGGGGATTTTTATCCTTTGATCCTATAGCCTCCCGCGCTTTAATTGAACCGGTTCACTTGCTCTATTCACATCAAAATGTTCATGAGGAACTTCTATTTTTGATGGAGCATTAGCAGCGGGGATATAGGACTTCGTCACCCTTTTCGTATCTGTGAACGCATCGGGCAACTGGTTAGCCAATCTTTGCATATGTATAATTTTCTGAACTTCCACCTCGCGTTGATTAGAAGGAGGATCAAGATAAGCCAAAGAGTGTGTACACCATTTGGTGATATCATTTGGTGATTCTCTCGACCCTCCCCCTAACGCAGGGAATTCATTTTCATCAAAGTGGCTATCGGCAAATTGTGCCGTAAACATATCACCAGTTGCCGGTTCAAGATACCTTATTATACTAGGGGACGAATACCCGACATATATTCCCAATCTCCTCTGTGGTCCCATTTTTGATCTCTGTGGTGGCGCTATTGGGATATAGACCGCACACCCGAATACCCGGAGATGGGATATATTTGGCATATTTCCAAATGCCAACTGTATGGGCGAAAATTATTATAAGCACTTGGTCTCACTTGAACCAAGGCTCCCGCATGCAATATTGCATGTCCCCATACAGTGATTGGGAGTTTTGTTCTCAAGATTAACGGTCTTGCAATTAACTGCAACCGCTTTATTAATGACTCAGCCATGCCATTTTGCGTATGAACGTGCGGAACCGGATGTTCAACATCGATTCCCACAGACATACAAAAGTCATTAAAGGCTGCTGAAGTGAATTCACCAGCATTATCAAGCCTGACTTTCTTTATGGCATAATCAGGGAAATGCGCTCTCAACCTGATTATTTGGGCAATGAATCTTGCGAAAGCCATATTTCTTGTGGTCAAAAGACACACATTTGACCATCTACTAGATGCGTCAATCAATACCAAAAGTACAATGGGCAGGCCCACATATATCACCATGTATTCTCTCTAAGAATACAGGGGATTCATTCCCAACTTTGGCTGGCGAGGGCCTAATTATGAGTTTTCCTTGAGAACATGCTTTACATGAAAACTCCCCCGATTGAAAAATCTTTTCATTTTTCAATGGGTGGCCACTCGTATTTTGCACAATTCTTCTCATCATGACTGAACCTGGGTGGCCAAGTCTTTCATGCCACACCCTAAAAGTGCTAGTAAACATCTGGTTTACTGCAACATAAGATTCAGTCATGTTGATTTTTGTGCAATATAAACCAGAGGACATCATTGGTAATTCTTCCAATGTTTGTTTCCTCTCCGTTGTAATGCAAAGATATTCAATGCCATTTTTGTTTATAGTCTCAATATGATATCCATTTTTGCGGATATCTCGGAAACTTAATAAGTTCCGGTGAGACTCCGGGGAATATAGTGCATCTCGCACTTCAAATTTCGTTCCCCTTGGCAATGAAAAACTTGCACTCCCAGAGCCAAGTATTATCTTTGCACTACCGCATATAGTACTCACGCTTTCAGCGGAGTCTTTCATTTTGAGATAGGAGAAATACTTCTTATCTTTGAGTATTGTATGTGTCGTAGCACTGTCTGCTAGACAAGTATCTCCATCCTTAATCTCAAATGGCACCATCTGGGCCACAAATTCATAAAATATGAAACATTTTATATTAAACATTGCTAATATATTACATCAAAAACTTTTTAGCAAAAGATATATTATACAATAAAGAAAAACGATTAAGAGATTTGTTATTCTTGTCTTCTTTACGAAGACACTATCATCGATTTGACTTTCTTTGGCTCAGTTGATTCTTCAGGATCAACGAGATAGTCGGCACATCCAGATGAAAATCATCACTTAAGCCATCAAAGGATGGACCAGGTTCATCAGAGATGAAGTTGGTCTCTGTGTCCTTATTTTGGCTTGTTGTGATGCCCTGTACAGATCGGCTAAATGTTTGGGCGTACGACATGTACGCTCAAAGTGATTATTCATGCCGCATCTGTAACAGGTGCGTTCACCCTTTCTTTTTACCGCTCGACCATCATCACTTTCTCTTCCACGTCCACGACCTCGACCGCGACGCGACCACGGCCTCTGCCGCGTCTGCGTTCACGTTCAGGCTTTTTAGTATGACTGGATGACGCAACATTCGCTTCAGGGAATGGCGCAGATCCAGTTGGACGGAGCTGATGGTTTAACATCACAAGCTGATTATTTTTTTCAGCCACAAGGAGGATTTGCATCAACTCCGAGTACGAGGTGAACTCTCTTGCCCGGTATTGTTGTTGCAGGATTATATTTTCAGATGAAAAGTTGAGAGATTTTTTCCAACATATCAAATTCACTGATATTCTCTCCACACATTTTCATCCTGGAAGTGATGTTGTACATAATGGAATTGTACTCAGCAACACTTTTATAATCCTGGAACCGGAGGTTCAACCACTCGTACCTCGCTTGCGGTAAGATCATATATTTTTGATGATCAAACCGAACTTTAAGCGAGTTCCATAGATCCGCAGGATCTTCTTTTGAGATGTATTCATCTTTTAAACCATCATGTATATGGTGGCATAAAAGATCATGGCTTTCGCCTTTTGCTCATCGGATGTCTTTCCAGACTTATCGATGGTGCTCAAGAGACCATTTCCTTTTAGGTGCAACCTTTGCACCTACTGTCCAAGACAAATAGTTGTTACCACTAATGTCAAGGGCGGCGATCTCGAGCTTTGTCAAATTCGACATTATAACTTGAATAACAAAAACTTAAGCTTTTGAAAGCTTTGAAACTTTGAGCATAATAACGGAATTTAAAGACAAAAATTTAAATAACAAGAATAAAAATGACTGAATTTAGAGGGCATAATTTAAAGACAGAAATTTAGACATGGGAGGAGGCATAGTCATCAACTCCGCTGCATGGAGGAAGTTTTTCACCATTAACTCCGGAGGAGTATTTTCCTATCACTCCATATATATGATCTGAGGACAAGGTTTACCATGTGATTATTTGCTCGGAGTAGGCAGAGCCTAGCATCCCAACTTTAGGAGATTTATTTGATCGAGGAGGCAGAACCATGACGATTAGCTCGGAGTAGGCATAGCCTAACATCCCGGCAAAACAGCCAAATAATATAATTTAAAAATTTTAAATAATTTGGACAGAATTTAGTCTCACATTTTCGGTATAAGGATAAATCTGGATAGATCTAGACTCGTAGAGGCGGTCGTGCTGATAACGTGTTATAAACTAATTATTTAAAGTGAAAATATAAAATATAAAGAAGGTGGGAACCATTTGGGTCAGGTGAGAAAAGAGAGATGACGATGTGAGAGAGAGAGATGAGTGAGAAATGATTTCATGTGTGTACTGATCACTTAGTACAATCCCTATTTATAGGGTAGACAATATCGGTTCTTTAAAAGATAAGAGTGAGGTGATGATGACACGTAGAGGAAGTAGAGAATTACATCTTTATCTACAACAGTTTTAACCTAAATGCTTTTTTCACTTCTCACTTTCGACAGCGGACTCTTTCTTTGATAGTTTCTATCTCATCTCTCAAACTCTAAATGTATCAGATAATTTATGGAAATCGACCCCGTTTCTCTCCATTTCTCAGCCTGATTCTGTTTCTCTCAATGAATCATTCTTTTTTATCAGTTCGGATCAACTCTATCCAGCTACAAATTTCTCTTTTTTATCAGATTTATGTTCATGTAACTCCTTATTTTTCAGTTAAAAAGTAAAACAGGCTGCTTTCAAAAGCTAATTAGTCGTAAGGTAGTTTTCTTTGTTTTATTTAGTGCTTACAGAATTTCTAAAAATTCTGTATTTGAACATTGTTGACTAAACGTGAGTAGAATTGAAAGGGAATCTAAGAGAATTCTGCAATTAAATATTTTAGGATAAATAAAAATTGAGTGATGTTGACAAAATTGTCTTGTTGTCTTCTACTTGAGTGAAAATGAAAGGGATTGTAATTGTTAAATGTTAATTTCTTGCTGTCTTTAATGTTGACAAATCGAACATGAAAAACAAACAATATGTAACAATGGTAAAATAAATAAAACGTGATAATAGAGTTGTTTTGAGTCTTTGTACTTTGAATTGTTGTGTTTACCATTTTGTCTTATTGATTTATTAACCATGATGAACCATAGTTTGAAACCCCTATTAGTTGAGTATTGAGTTGGTGATATTATTTATAGCTTATATATTTATTTTATTTGTGTACTTATTTGTAACAAGTATTGGAAATGGAATCTGAGAAGCAAAATTCAACAGCTGCCAGCGAAAGATCAAGTTTACCACAACAATGAAATGCAGATGAGTTGAGTAATAATAGCAAGAGGAAAATGAGCTCATGTGTGTTTGATAATTTTATAGTCATTATCAAGATCAATAGTGAATATATATTTGAACAAAGTGCTAAGTGTAAGCATTGCACAAATGATTTTGCATTTGAATCACACAAGCAAGGTACCTTTAACTATAATTTAGACTCACTAGTTTGCAATAAGACGCCTATAACTAGTGATGTTGGTGCTATGCTGGTTACTGCTGAGGGAAAACTACAGTCTAGAAAATTTAATCAAAGTATTTTTCGTAAAATAGTTGTAAAGTCTTTAGTTGAGCATGATATGCCTTTCTCCTATGTTGAATATGCTAGATTTATGTCAGTTTGGGAGTATTTAAATGTTGATATGAAGTTCATAGGTAAACACACAACTGTTGCATATGTGTTTAGGTTTTATATATAATATTGAAAAAGTAAATTTGAAGGTGGAATTGTCTGAAATTCTCGGTAGGATCCCTTTCATATCTGATTTTGGTCGGCTATACAGTTGAGGGATATATATGTGTGACGGCACATTACGTAGATAAGCATCTTAGGAATAATCTTATTACTTTTTCTGCTCTGCCTACTCTACACAGTGGAATAAATAGCGATGAAAATTATGGAAGTTTTGAAAGAGTGGGGGATAGAGAGAAAATTATTCTCCCTTTACGCTGAATAATGCTAGTAGCAATTATAACATGCAAAACATCTTAAAGAAGCAGCTTGTAATTTAAAATGATTTGTTGTGTGGTGGAGAGTTCTTCCATGTAAGATGCTCTGCGCACATTCCGAGTCTGATTGTCAAGAACGCATTAAAAGTGATGGTCATGCCGTATCTAAAATCAGAGACATCATCAAATTTTCCAAACTTCATAAGCTCGTCGGAAATTGTTTGCAACCTGTGTGGTTTCTGCTCAGGTTGAGAATAAGAATGCTGGTTTGACACTGAATGCAACAACATATTGGAATTCTACATTTAAAATGCTTACCGCACATCATTTTGCATTTGATATTTACCAAAGCGTTGATCCATACTTCAAGTCTCTTCCCACAACAGCATAATGGGAACTAGGCACACAAATATGAGCGTTGTTGCAGCCTTTTGATGAGATAGCCAACATGATTTCAGGTTCAACTTACCCAAATTCAAACTTGTACTATAAAAGAGAAATTTAATAAGTATTGGCATGAGTAAGTGAAGTTCTTTCAATGACGGCTGTTTGTGGTCTTAGTTTTAAGTTATCACTCCTAGAGTATTATTTAAGAAATCTGGATGAGAGTATATGTCAATAGAAAATAGAGAACGTGCAAGTAAAACTGAATCTGCTTTTTAAAGCATATTCTAAGCCAGCAGACCAAATCACTCCACCAGTCGGAGAGAACGTACAAGAATCAGTGGCTGCACTTCTTGGAAGATGTGTCATCAATTATGACATAAGTGACTAAGAGCATAAGCATCGCAGAGCTCCATTCGGAGCTGTTTAGAATTTTTTTAACGATAAAAATATTAGTTTTTTTAAGTGTAGAGCTTAGTTTAGGATTTTGGAAATTGACCCTCTCCATTGCACAACTCCGTTTGAGTTCTTTAAAATTAATTTTTTAACATTTTTTTTGTTTGTAATAAAATGAAATGAAATGATAAGATTCATAAAAGAGAAAGTATATTATTATATAAAACACAAAACAAACATATATTACATATAAGATGGGAAAAAACCGCATTACAAGAAAAAAAATATGAAAAACAGATATATTTAGAAACGTTTGAAAACATGATTAAGAACCAAATTTATTCCAAATATGCTCAACCAAATCAGCTTTCAATTGGTGATGCTTTTGTTGATCACGAATATCAGCTCGATTAGCCATCATATTGCGGACATTTGAAGGTAAATTTTCAGACCTCATAACACGTACTTGAGATGACCAGCTTCTGTCGTTTTGTCCTTCTTGAAATTCTGATTCGTGAAGTTGAGTGCCACACTTTCTTTCATCTTCCACAATCATATTGTGTAATATGATACATGCATTCATTATATTTCATATCTTTTGCTTATCCATAGTAAGAGATGGGTTTTTGACAATTTCAAAACGAGCTTGCAACACTCCAAAAGCGCGCTCAACTTCTTTCCGGGCAAACGATTGATGGTAACAAAATAGACTTGCTTTCGGTTCTTCTGGCTGCGTAATTGGTTTGACGAAAGTCGACCATTCCAGATATATACCGTCCGTGAGATAGTAAGCCATCTTGTATCGGTATCCATTAACAGAGAACAACACCTTTGGAGCTCGACCTTCTAATATATCATCAAACACGGGTGAACGGTGGAGAACATTAATATCGTTTAAAGTACCTGGGGGTCCGAAAAATGCATGCCAAATCCATAGATCATAGGACGCCACAGCCTCTAAAACGATTGTCGGTTTTCCATGGCCCCGTGAATATTGTCCTTTCCAAGCCGTGGGACAATTTTTCCACTCCCAATGCATACAGTCAATGCTTCCAATAGAGCCGGGAAATCCACGCTTCTCTCCAACCTTGAGTAATCGTTTGAGATCATTTGGTGTTGGCCTTCTGAGGTAGTCGTCCTCGTAAAAATATATGATTGCATTCACAAAATTATGCAAGCATTTCAGCGCCGTGCTTGAAGCGATTCGGAGGTATTCGTCTACTGCATCAGCTGCTGTGCCATATGCCAGCATACGAATGGCGGCTGTGCACTTTTACAAACCGGTTAGACCAGGCTTTCCAGTGCCATCCGCTCTATGCACAAAGTAGGGCCACTCCGTGGATAGTTTGTTAACTATGCGCATAAAA